TCCCCTGGAAGTAATTGAAGGGGAGGTGGGATCCCCACCCGCTCCTAAGAAGCCGTTTGTGGAAATCGCTGAGGTTCATGAAAAGGTGGAGGAAGCCAGCCTAGAGTGGCCCCGGATGGATAAATGAGGCTTCTAGCCTGGAATGTGAGAGGTATTGGACCTTCCCTCACATTCCAAACGGCCGTGGGTTTGGTCCGCTCGAATAAACCGGATCTCGTGTTTTTTTCTTAAACACGATCAAGCCGGCGTGTTGTCTCCCGTCGTATGCGGGGTTTAGGTTTTGACATTTCTCGTTGTTTTTTTGTGGATGCGCTTGACGCATCGGGAGGTTTAGTTGTTGCTTGGTCCCCGGAGGTTGATACTTCGGTGTTTTATTCTTCCAACTTCTGTATTTGTTCCCAAATTAATGAAGTGGATTTTTCTTATATCGTGGTTTGTGTGTATATAAGTTGTTCTGTTCCTATTCGAGCCGCCCAGCTGGCGTACCTCCAGGAACTCAGTTCTGCCTTACTCTTCCCTATGTGGTTATTGGCGATTTTAATACTACCCTTAGTGCGAGTGAAAAGAATGGTGGCAATCCTTGGAATGTTAATAATTCGATCAGTATGCGTGAGTTTATTTATGACTTGGGGCTCCATGATCCTGGTTACCAGGGTGATCTCTTCACTTGGACTAACAAGAGAATGGGGAGTGCCTGCATTCGGGAACGTCTGGACAGAGCCCTTTGTTCCCAGCTCTGGATTGACCGATTTCCTGAAATCCTGGTCAAACACTTTACGGATCAAGGCTCCGATCATAGAGCAATCCTCCTGTCTGATAGGCCTTATATTCGGCATAGTCGCCCTCTCTTCCGATTTGATGCCCGATGGGCGGATAATCCTGAAGTACGGGCTATGTTTACCTATGTCTGGCAGGAGGATATCTAGGGAACCCCTATGTTCTGTCTGTGGGAGCGCCTTAAAAAACTTCGTCATCTCTTGTATGACTGGAGTAGGGCTGGTACCACTAATTCCTTGCGGAATATTCGCACCCTTCAGAGCGAAATTGATAGGGTTAAGCTAAGTCATCCTATTGACTGGGATGTGGTCCGGGTCTGGAGGGTGAGCTTAACCGACAATGGGAGGCAGAGGAGATTTATTGGCAACAAAAGTCCAGGGTACATTGGTTGCAAAAAGGGGATAAAAATACCTCCTATTTTCATACAGTGACTAGGGCTCGTCGGAAGAGAAACTTCGTGGCTGGCCTTCGTGATGAGAATGGGGAGTGGATCACGGATGAAGCTGGGAAAGATGGTATTGCCTCTTCCTTTTACCAACACCTCTTCACGACGGAGGACCAGGTGGTTACCATGGCTGAGCGGGTGGCTTCTTTGTCTATCGCGCGAAGTGTTACCCCGGAGATGAATGTCAGTCTGACGGCCGAAGTACTTCCCTCTGAAGTTCGGAAGACGGTGTTTGGTATGGGGTCGAAGCAAGCACCGAGATCGGATGGCTTCACGGGTAAATTTTTCAAGGAAATCTGGGACATTGTGGGGGAGTCGCTCGTTACAGCGGTGTGTTCGTTCTTTACGACTAGTCGAATGCTTCGTAGTTTTAATCATATTTGGCTCACATTGATACCCAAGGTCGAGAATGTGGAATCTATGCGGCAACTGCGTCCGGTTAGCTTATGCCAGTTCGTTTATAAAATTATTACCAATATCATGGCGGAGCGTCTGGCTTGCCTCCTACCTAGTATTATTTAGGAGGGTCAGAATGGTTTCATCCGTGAACGTCAGATTGTTGAGAATATCCTCCTCGGACATGAGTTAATGCATTATCTGAAAATCAAAACGCGAGGTAAGAAAGGGTACATGGCTCTAAAGGTTGACATGGAAAAGGCCTATGATAGAGTCGAGTGGCCTTTTCTCCTTGATATTTTGGAAAAGATGGGCTTTAATTCCGTGTGGCAGGGTTGGATTTGCGAATGCCTCGGATCCTCGTCCTTTTCCGTTCTTATGAATGGGACCCCTTCGGGATACTTCACTCCTTCCAGAGGGCTACGGCAAGGGGATCCTCTCTCCCCTCTCTTGTTTTTGCTTTGCACAGAGGGCTTTGCGGCACTCCTTCGCAAGGCTATCTCGGAGAAACGGCTGGAGGGGGTAAAAGTGGCCCCTCGTGCTCCACGGATTTCGCACCTTTTCTTCGCAGAAGATTCGTATCTTTTCTTACGCGTTACACTCTGGGAGTGTGAGAATTTGATGGAGGTTTTGAAAGAGTATGAGGAATTGAGTGGCCAGCGTGTAAATTTGGCAAAGTCGGCGGTTTGCTTTAGTAAGAATATTCTCCAAACGGATCAGAGTTCTTTGCCACGATTCTGGGAGTCGGAACGGTGGGGGTCCAGGATAAATACCTGGGGTTTCCAACGTTATTTGCTCGATCCAAAATGACCACGTTTAGATATTTGGAGGAGAAATTGCTCGAACGACTTCAGGGGTGGAAGCGAAGGACACTGTCGTTTGCTCTGGCATTGCCGTTGCACGTGATGTCATGTTTTAAGCTTCCTCTCTCTCTGTGTCGACTCTTGGATAAGCATGTGGCCGGATTCTGGTGGGGTGATGCTGAGGATCATTTTCGGATTCGGTGGATGTCTTGGCGTAATATGTGCCGCAGTAAACATGATGGGGGTATGGGATTTCGTCGGTTTGAGCAATTCAATCAGGCTTTGCTGGCCAAGATTGGTTGGCGTATCCTTATGGAACCGCAATCTCTCCCGGCTCAGGTTTACAAAGGCAAGTATTTCCCAACAGAGTCTTTTCTTGATGCCTCGGCTCGATCCCGCCCCTCGTGGGGATGTCAAAGCATCCTGTTTGGTAGGCAGTTATTGGTGAGGGGGTTAAGATGGCAAATTGGGAATGGCCAAACTGTGTCCTTACTTAACTCTAACTGGATCCCTCTGTTCCAGACAGATCCCCCTAGGTGACCCGCCTGTTGTGGAGGTTATGTGTCCGGGTGCGGGGTGCTGAGACGATAGTAGGCTTCAGCAATGGTTTGATTCTTCGACCTGTCAGGCCATTAAATCTATCCCTCTTCCGCGCCAGAATGTGGCTGATAGGCTAATCTGGCATGTCACGGCGGATGGGGTCTTTACGGTCAAGTCGGCTTACCATTTAGTTGTCTCCATTGATAGGAGAGGGGAGGGATGGAGGTCCACGGTTGGTTGGATGGATAGGGCCTCTTGGATTCGCCAGTGGGAAGCTGACATTCCTCCGAAGGTTAAAGTCTTTGTCTGACAAATTCTCAATCGCATTCTGCCTACTACTGAGGCTCTTATTGAAAGAAAAGTCCTTGTGCACCCCAGATGTCCGGTTTGTTGGGCTAGTGCGGAAACGATGGAGCATTTGTTTCTTGATTGTCCGGTGGCGCATGCCCTTTGGGATATATGGGGGAGGGGCTCCCTCGTCATACTTTTCCGTTGTTCCTAAAGCAACTAATGGCTCTGATTCACCAACCTACTCTATTTATGGCGGTGGTGGCTGTACTCTGTAGGATATGGCGATCGAGGAACTGGGTTGTCTTTGAGGGTAAGCAGTTTGGGTTCCCTGCCTTGATGCGCCAGTTTCATCAACAGTATGACGAGTGGGTCTGTTTACCGGTGGATAGAATTCCAAGGGTGGCTCCTCATACGGTGGCTCCCCACGAAGCACATCCACTGGGGTCGGGGGGGCGAATAGGGTTGTTTGTATGTGGGACGGGGCAGTTAGGAGGGGGTCGCACTCGGCTGGAGGGGTGGTTCTTTTGACGCCTAGTAGAGATGTTTGGTTGGTGAAAGGGGTTCAAATTCCTTGCCTGGATGACCCTATGGTCGTGGAATTGATTGTCCTCCGTGAGGCTGTGGTGTGGTGCCTGGAGCTCGGCCTCACGGATGTGAGCTTTGAAGGGGATGCCAAGGTAATTATTGATAAGATTAATCAGGCGGACGTCAAGGATAACCGTATTTTTCAGTTATGTTGGGTTTAGTGTTCTATTTGTAGGTCGGAGTAATAATAGGGTAGCCCATTCGGTGGCTCATAAAGCCCTCTCTTTGTACCGGACTATAAATCGTTTCTTTGATTTTCAGGTCTGGCTGAACTCTAGGATATAACTATCTTTTGCTTGAATCAATATAAGATTATCTTTTGTAAAAAAAAAAAAGATTAATGATCCTATAAAAACAGGATAATCCATAACATGAAAATAAAATATACATAATGTTTGTAGCGATAAGTCGTTTATAACGAGACGTAAGGGTAGAGTGGTAACACAATACTCAAACTACCAACAGGCAAATTCCCTGATTATGGGTACACATAAAAATAGCAACTAATTAGAAGGCTCTACCGGCTAAACCCTAAACATGACTGAAGGTAGTTTTCACATTAACAATCAAGTAAAAACACGACGCCGGGCAACAATTTACAAGCAAAAATTTCCCTTTTCTCGTTCCCAATTTCTGTATTGCTTCTGCATCAACTAGAAAATTGTGGCACCCACAACCAAAAAAAGTACATACCCCAAATGCAAATAAATACATTATTGAATCCCCATGGTGGGCATTGCCAATTGAATTTTGCCTCTTATCGATCTTGCTGTTCTGTGGTTACCAAGCTTAGCCCCCTCTCGCAGCACGTTTCGTCCCACGTTTCGCTCCATAAGGGGCTGCTGCCGACGGCAGAAACTAAGTTATTCTATATGCTTTTACAAATGAAGATCCTTCCTCTCTCCATCCACACTGCAGCTAGTGTAGCAAACAGACCAAGGTACTGCATAGATGCAGAATGTTTGAAGACATTGTATGTTAATTTCCTCCTCCCAAGTACCATCAAAACCCACATCAACCTAAATGTAATATCGTTCTCCGCGGATTTTGGTTAAACACAATTATCAGATAAAAGAATTACATCTATCAAACAGTAATGCATGTGTTCTTCCCTCCCATTGCGCAAAACATACAACAATTAGAGAGGCGTACCAGATGATGCATCAGGCATTTTGCTGGACCTGCCGATGTAGTTGGACCAACCAGTCAACATAACCATTTGTCCCGCCTGTCTGGTCCTCCACTAATTTTGTGAGTACCATAAAGCCTTCTCTGGGTTGCTCACCTTGCCTCACAAGATGACACAACTGATAGTACGACGGATCGCTCTCCCTTAACTTTTTGAGCAATAGCATTAGCTTTCTTGACATTTCTGTTTCACGCTCCACGAGTGTAACCTGATCAATAATGTAGAATCATAATAGGGTCAGTCAACACCAGGCAATAAGAAGATCGACCAGTATTCAATAGGTCGATCAGTATTCAGTGATACTTCGCGCGACCAGTGGCATCCATAAAAAGCAGCAACGTAAGTTTTAAATGGATACAAAGACTAAAGGCAGCATACCCTTGATAGCTCAGCTGCAGCATCTGGCCCCAGTAGATTCATAGCTATATCAGGTGATAGCATTCTTCCAAACCATAGAACTAGCTGAAGGCCGTCATCATATACATAAAGGCCTCTAGAATCAAGGCTGTCTGCTGTCAGAGGCAATCTCTTCATCACCTTTCTAAACTCATCGGCATTGGCAGATGGCTGCACAAAAGATGTTGCACAGGACTTTATATTCACAAAAAATGAACGGGAAAAGAAAACAGAAACTATATGACAGATCCAGGGATGATTTTCCTCTCACCTTCAAGAGATAGTCATCTAGTTGAATTAAGCTGGGATACAAAAGTTTTAACAAACTTTTAACAGGTAATGCCATCATTGTAAATCCTGCAGCACATCGCTCATCAAGTGGAACATCTGCATATCCTCCTCGGAGCGGTGTTGATTTACAGAGGGCCAATCCATACAATGGTAAGAACTTCAAAGACTCTGGATATATCAGCCGACCTCCTAACCGATGTTGTACAGCATAAAGATTTCGGTATTCCCTGAGAGCTTTGACAATCCTTAGATGTACATTACTGCGAGCATCCTCCAGTTTACTGGACATTGTTTTCTCGATTGCTGCAATTTATTAGAAAGGTCAGAATATGTATATCCTCAATCCGAAAGAAAATCGGTACAAAATGCCAACAAAAGTGCAATCTGCAATTACCTAGACGACTAAGCAAAGAAACAATAGCACCATTGTCAGCCTGACGATACATCTCCCCCAAATCTGAGACAACTGGGGCAGCGGCAGTGTGTACTCTTATACGCCTCTCTCCACAAGAGGCAGTATATCTTCGTATAGTTAAGGAAATGCACAATCACCCATCCACCAGTCACCTAGTAGGGTTAAGCATTCTCTCAAACAGAACTGACAGAATGTCAGCAAATAATTTAGTGAAAAGGAGTTACGGACGACAAGCCTACTGCAAACTTGGGAAAATCCATGCCTAAGTGGGAAATATCTCTACCTGGCCATGGAATCAGGACTAGAAACAATCAAATGGAGATATGTTCTCGGATTATCCTGGTCGCATTAGTAAACTAAAAAAGTTCTAAAAAGACTCATTTTCACATGGGAATAAGAAAAACGTTCTTTAAAAAACTATGTTTTGCAAATCAGCAGTGCTGTATCCAGAAAGAAAGTATTAAGCTAAGATGATGAATTGATGTGACGCAATTTTGGTGAAAGGATACAGCAAAGCAACTTGGAAATATACAGTCTGATTCGTCAGTAATGTCTCCTCCAGTGATAACTGCATTGCATATGCCTTGTCACAATCAACTGCTGGAAGCGCCACTAGATCTGTGGACCTTAACATGAAGTTCCCATGATAGGATGTAAACCTAATTCCTGCATTATACAGGTACAAAGAAATATGAGCTCTCTGCCCATTCTTAGGGGCAAAACATTTTCAGCTATGGTAGGTAAAGTATTCTGGCTCTGTTTAAAAAACACCATCACCCGCTTGATGGGTATACCTTTGCCACATCTGATGCGCATTACAGCCTCCCATGCAGTTTCTCGAGTGAGGTCTCTGGTTAACTCGTGACTCAATTTCTCTGAATGATTAGCAGCTTGGAAACTTGGATAGTAATACACCTGTCCACCAGTATATTTAGCAAGGGTTCCTGCATAAAGAAATAGAAGAGAATCAATATTGAAACAATGGAAATTGGACATCAAGGAAGTCATTAAAAGAAGATCAAACAAAAGCATACTAATCACTTGTGACATGCATATCGATACACTTCAGTGATGTAAGAAAATAACATAAAAAGATAAAGCAGCTAAAATTTAGACAGAAGGAATCTACAATCTGGAAAATCATTAGTTTCTGATCCATAATTAATTGAAGAAAATAAGATAGCACGTACCTATGGAGGCTAAATCACTATACTTATCACTGAAGGCATAAACATTGACTCCTATCTGATACTTGGTAAAATCAGCAGCCATTTGTTTGTAAAATGGATCTTCTGGTACACGCAAAGAATGTTCCTTATCCGTCCCATATGCACGTGGATCATCTCCCCGCAATTTTAAGCGACCAACACCAAGAGATGGCATTGTGTTCTGAAATATTAGAAGCTTTCCGCCTAGTTGGCTCTGCAGAAAAGAAACAAACAAATTAATGGGAAGATTAAAAAAAGTCACAAGAAAGAGAGGTGACAAATGAGGCAAAGAGTAACATGAACAACTCAAGCGGAAATGAGAGAGCTGGACACGAAAAAGGTCTTATCTGTGTTCAACTCTGAACCATCCTCCAAAAGAAACTCCTCAAGCAAAGTGAAACGATGGAAACAAGACAAATGGAAAAGAGAATCTATTGGTTGTTAGGAATGAAAATATATTTTCGATGTCATGAGAATAGAACTTAACATTTAGTTTTTAAGTTTATTTTTAACAAGATATAAGGGGACGAGAATCAATAAGTATCTTTGTTTGACATGAAAATTTAACTTAGCGTATAGTTTCTTTAATTTCAAAAAAGTAGGATAGTTTGTGAAGTTCGAGACTAGAAAGTATGCACTTTGACACCAACTTGGGTGGATGGCATTATAAGTCTTTAAATTGAATAGAAAGCCGTTACCAAGGCCTCTAACAATGACATCCCTTTCGTTCTGAAGTTAAGATTCCTGAACTTGCCTCAGCCTAGTTAGGACTCCAAAACAGCATTGATTACCAGGTGGAAGACTTGGAATAACACATAGGAAACTAGATTCTAAGGAGGGGCTTACGTAACCTCTGGATTTCTAACTCCAAGAGCTAGCATTGTGCTTATTCTGGTCAATCTACCGACATAAAATCAAGATCATGAATGCCCAATTAAGATTTAAGCATGTACTATACAGTCTACCATCAACATCACTCAGCAATGCATTTTTCTGTAACATTACAAACTGTAACGATAAATGCAATCTAATAATGTTTTCTATCAAATCTAAGATCACACAAAGATATCAAGTAGCAGAACCACCTACCAATAAGATATTGTGGGATTAGTGAGAATCAAACTTATAAAATGAGATAAAAGAGCTTGCATACCATAACCATGAATGCAGCTTTCAGGGCGGGACCAAAAGCAGATTCCATATTCAGGTTGTCCTGGAACATTGTAGGCAAGCTATCTAGAAATGCATCCACCACAGTTCTTGATTCAGACAAATTAACAAGGAGATCATCAGGTAGCGGAATAAATATGTCTTCAAGATCAGTAACGACCATCATCTGAGGCTGTGTCAAGGATGACTGCAAAAAAAAAGGACCTAGTAAGTAAACCTGACTCCTGCAAATGGTAGAACAATCTCATATTCCTCAGATCACAAGTTCATACGACAATTCCTCACTTGCCTTCATGTTGTAGAAGTGTACTGTGCTGTCATAAGTGATAAACCCTATCTGTGTTCTGGGATATCCAGGCAGATCATCCAAACAAGACTTTATAGTCTTTGCTACAACCTACATAAGGATATTGAAAGTCAATAGCAATGTTTTACTTGTACGGACATACATGCACAAGCGCAAACTAAGGCTGCAGCCCCAGCAAGCATGTGCAAATCAAAGAGAATGACATGAGACAGTTCAGCACATGCGTTGGATTATTAGAAGAACTTACCTCAATCATACCACTTCTGACTGCGGAGATTGATACATCAATGAGGAAGAAATACAAGGGTGGCATTGGAGGCCGCACCATATATTCGGTAGGAGCAACAAATTCAACGCTGCCCTTTGTAAGCTCGGGCCTCTGATCCAGATCAACTCTTCTTCCTGTGGCATCCAGATGGGCAAAATAATCGCCAGGAACTACAAAGAAGATTTAAGAAAGAAATCAGATGAGTTGCAAAAAATGAGAAGCACATCGGCAAAAAACTGTAGATCTAGAGCACAGCCACCTAAATGACCCGCCGGTCTACAACCTGAAAGTCCCAGATTCAAAATACTTAAGTGGCGTCTAATAACATAAATACACAGATGTCATCCTCATAAAAAAAAACCACCTAAATGAGTAAATTGAGTCTAATTTGATGAGAAGACCTTAAGTGGCATCTAATAATAAAAATAAACAGAGTTTGTTTGAGAATATTGGTCAATAAGATCAGTTTTGAGTTTTTGGCCAACAGTTAGGTACTCCATTCTGATGACCTATTTTTCTGTTTCTCCAGATTCCGTTTCACCCATTTTCCAAGCGCCTGACAGTACAGCACCTTCAGCAAAATGTTTTCCCCCCTTCAAACTACGATTCAAAAAAATTAAAAACCAGCACGTCTTTTTGCATTGTGTCAAATAACAACTGAATCAGCCTTAATAGCTTTCTTCGTTCGTCAATAACCCTATAGACTCTTCATAACAAGGAAACAGAAGGAAAATTTGGTAAATGAATCTTAGTGCAGAATGATTCACACTCCCCATATAGGTTTGAAATCTACATAAAAAAACTCGGCAACAAAGAAATTCACATTACAACAACAAAAATGCCACCAAATGCTCCAAGCAAGATCAATCCTGTAGACATTACTCCTTACAGTACCAAGGCAACAAATGGAATATTATATGGAACTAATTTATGCTCACCATCGTTAAGTAGAGCGCAGATGTTGCATCGCCACTTCCTCCCAGAATCGGTAAACGTTATGAAGGGATTTACATACGTACGACATCGTCTGCACCGAATTATCCCAGTTGAAACAAAGTTTAGTACTGAGACCTCCTCCTGTGATCATGTAAACCATGGAACAAAACACAAAATCTCAGTTCTTACTCAACATAAGAAATAGAAATCTTAATGTTATCAATTGAGATGCACCACCAACCCCTTCAGGTGCTTCAGCTAGAGGACAAACAACTGCACCGAGAGGCAAATGCCACCTTGAGACTAAAGACTGGGAATTCGGAATAGCATTTGTTGTAAGTCGAAGATATCTAGCATTGCAATTCACAGAATATCCCTCAGGTAATGAATTGGGCTCCACATCACCATCCAATGGTCTCGGCAGTGCCTTAGAGTCAACTCCAGGATCAATTGATCCAGGAACAGATCCAATAGAGAGTGAGCTGAAATCTTCTATCAAACCTTGCATGGAACCCATAGGAGGCATGGTGCCTGGATGCTGAATTTGGTCCCTAGAATGCAAGCCATATGGAGATGCTACTGGTGGAGCCTGAGCTAGACCACCCTGTTGAGAAAGATAATGTGGGGTTGGTGTTGGTGCAGAAGGCGCATAACCTACAGGCGTAGCTTGGAAGGGTGACTGTACAGGAGGACCTTGTGGAGCTTGAAACGGTGCATTTGACTGCTTTACATACCCAGGTAAAGTCGGCTGCGAAGAGGCTCCAGTTGCAGGGTACCCAGAAGCTGTAGGGGGGAAAGATGGCTGAAAATTTGGCCTTGATGCCGGAAATGGTGAATCTATTTGAGGAGTGTTTACACCGGGTGGAGGAGATCCCATAGGCACTGCTGGAATCTGCCCCTGTGGACGAAAAGGCGGAGGAGGTGATACCTGACTGGGAGGAGGCTGGAACGGTGGTTGGCCTACAAGTGGAGCACGGGCAGGCGGACCTGGTGGCATAGATCCAAATGGTGGAGTTGGGAAGCGATTGAATGTTCCAGAAGCAGGGGGCCCGTATGACGAAGGTGGGGCGGGCAAGGAGGGATCATTAAAACGAGTTGGTGGTGCAGGCCTGAAGGCCGGTGGCTCCCCAGAACCTGCAGGTCCAGCTGTAATAGGTGGCAAAGTATTTGGCGGAAAACTTGGCCGCGTAGGTCTCAAGTTAGAGGCCTCTGATCCACCCACATGGCCAGAGTTGGAAAATGGAGTTATCGTTGGAGGAGCGGCAGCAAAAGGAGAGGCTGGAAAACTTGGACGACCAGGATTCTCAGTCCCCATGGCTTTCTGAATTTATGTCTTTTACTTGGTACGCCTATGCATCCATCACCTCACCTGCAAAAACAATAAAGAGGGAACGTTTTGACAAACAGAATGACTACAGGATTGATCTCCATAAGATGATTCTTCACACTGTCAACATCATAGTTAAATTACCAACAGGATCAGGGTATGAAAAAATAATAAGTCCAGTCCACAAAGGGTTCAAATACACCACAGAGTGTTCATGAACCTAGCTTGAATACAAGTACCCAGATACTGGACACACAGATAACAGCCATTACCTCTGATTGACTACAATGCTCACTCCAAAAAAAGGAGATTGACTACAATGCCAAACAGCCACTACCACCAAATCGGCAACCAAACCATATATTATCATCTTATGTCAAAACAGCATTTGACAGTCATTGCACTTGACAAGTGCATGTGATTTTTACCCATTGAAGCAATCATCTGAAGAAGTCAATAACCGATCTACAGCCTGAAGGACAGCGCGCCTAAAACGCATTCCCTACATGAGCTACCGTTCACCTCAAGAAAGTAGATACGAACAGAACAAAGCTTCGAGCTAAAACTCTAATCAACTCCACTAAGCAGTCCGATCAGTCCTTAAAAACTAGTTATCTAAGTTCTCACCAAAATCAAGCAAACGTTAATTACAAAGTTCAATTGTCTTATCGTCGAAGACAAACATCGAAACATGAATCGTCGCATAGCTTTCTCTAGTTGGAAGCACCCAATCTGACTGGTTTATAAGCCCAAAACTCTAAAAAGATAATGGTAGACCAGGTGGAGAATGGCATCGGGAGATCGATCAGCAGCCAGAAGAGAGTCACAATCCACAGCCGAAGTGCGAAGAAGCAAGAGAAGAATTCAATAATTACCTGATCGAAGGCGCAAGGGAAAATCTCAGGCCGGCAGCAGAAAATTCGAAAACCCCCTGAGACACAGTAATTCGATTCTACGTAGAGAAGAATTCGGCTAATCGAGGACGCAGATGATGATATGGTTATTTCTCTCTCCCCTAGCTTCAATCTGAAGAAAGTGAACGGAAGACAAAGAGAGAGAGGAGCTGTGTGAAAGAGTGAGATTGAATAGATCGGGGTGAAGGAAGTAAAATTAAAGAACCCTAGATCCAGAACACGACCCCAACAACGAACAGCGAATTTTACTTTTTTATTCGGAGAAATTTAAAAATTGCGAAAGGGAAAGGAGAAAGAAAGGACAGGGACGAGCTGGAGTCGAGGATGTCGAGAGAAAATTGAGCGGAATTTTGGTTTAATTACAAAACGAAAAAAAAAAATAAGATGAAGGAAAAAATTAGACTTTGCTCCGCTGACGACGACTACTACGGTCTACCTAAGAGAATTTGGAATTGTAGTTGAAAAATACACTGGTTATCGTTAAATTTTGTTTATTTTAGTTAAATTTTTTACTTTAGATGGTTTGGATTGATTTGTACACTTCTAAAAAATCATACCAATTAATTAAATAAATAAATAGTCAAATATTTAATATATTTAATATCATACTTAATATTTATTTTGCATAAACATTCAATAGTCAAGTGTTACACGGCTTGGTTACTGATCTATTAGTAACTAAATCTGGACATTTAGATCTAAATGGGTCTAGAAAATCCAGATCTAAGCGTTGAATAAAAAGCATTTTATTTTTCATAGTTTTCTTAATCGGTTCTTATCTTCTTCGTTCTAACTCGGATTTCAATTTTTTTTACTCAGATGGAATGAGTTCATTGTGCTCTACAAAATGAGATCAATTTTCAATATATTTCGAGAATCATTTTTCATACCTCTCGTTATCGACTACATATCATATGGTAACTTTTGGAAAAAATCACAAAATATGCATGTTTTTTTAAAAAAATCCCAAAATACACACGTTATAAAAAAAATTTCCCAATATACACATGTTTAGGCATCACCGCTGTTGTCAACCGCAGTGAATGCATTCACCGCGGCAGACCAAAGCGGTGAATGCATCACCGCGGTTGACGGCCGCGGTGAATGCCTGACGTAACACTGAAACTTCAAACAAACGTAACTTTGCGCTCGGTTATCCGATTGTAGCGAATTCTTTTTTGATTCCACATAAATTTTCAAGATCTTTCAATCTGAAAGAAGACTTCATCCCAAAATCCCGTATACCCAAAAATACTTCTTTTTTAAAAGATTATTTCCTAGTCAAAGTTGTAGTTCTTAAAAAGTTATGCATAATAAAAAAACTTTACGACGTTCGGATTGAGGAGCTAAAAGTTGTGTCCTTCCAAAGTTTGGCAAAATCGAAAAATTGCTCGTTCGGGGTAACAAACGACATTTTTTTTAGATGAAGTCTTCTTGCAGATTGAAATATCTTGAAAAGTTATATGGATTCAAAAAAAAATTCGCTACAATCGGATAACCGAGCGCAAAGTTAAGTTTGTTTGAAGTTTCAGTGTTAAGTCGGGCATTCACCGCGGTCGTCAACTGCGGTGATGCATTCACCGCTTTGGTCTGCCTCGGTGAATGCATTCACTGCGGTTGACAACAACGGTGATGCCCAAACATGTGTATTTTGGAAAAAAAAATTATAACGTGTGTATTTTGAGAATTTTTTTAAAAAACATGTGTATTTTTGGAATTCAACGAACATTTTCGTTTTTAAGTCATTTTTTAAAACGTTTGCTTAGAAGGAACGAGTTCATCATGATCTGTTGGATCTACATATTTCTGGGTGAAAAAAATACATGACAAAAAAGTATCATACTTTACCACTCTGGTACGTGGGTGATAACTTGTCGTAACTTGTGGTAAACAATGATGAAAGTCGTAAATTACAGTTAGTCTACTCCTACTATCATGAATTCAACTTTCCTACAGTATTGGTATGTTGATACCATCATGGTACACTTTTGTTGGGGGTGTTACTAAATACTCCGTTCACAGACTAAGTAGGAGGACGCAAAATCGGCGATGCGCGACGCGCGATACGCGCTACAGGTATATAAGGGCTTGAAGCCCCCCCCCCCCCCAAAGAGGGGATTCCTTCTCTCTCTCCAGCACTTTTTACTTTCCCTTATCTCTCTACACCTTATCTCTCTACCTTATTCTCTCAACTCTCTCCTCAAACTTAAACTAATTTGATCGTCGGAGCTTAATCCGGGGGGCATCCCCGGTTCTTTCACAGGTTCTTCCCTCCCGACGATATCAGACGAACGGATCGTGAGTCAACCCCACACAACAATCATTATTGTTCATACCTCGAGCAAGATGGTACGAACAATTGGCGTCCACCGTGGGGCTTGATTTATACATTCGTTCGTCTGGTTGTTGTGAGGGGGAAGAGCTCCCACCCTAGTTTCAAGGACGGACAGCAGCAGAAAATTACAGGTCGATGACTCTTTTTTTCCCTAAGAAGGAGAAGAATAAAGATGGAAGCTTGAAGCTTTTTTCCAAGCTTTATATGGGTGCGTGCCGTGGGGATTGGAAGGGAATTTGCGTTTGTTTGGCTTTTTTCTTTTCCCCGAAGAGAGGGAAGCAAGATGAAGGGCCGTTCCAAGAAAAAGAAAGATGAAAAATTGAACCAACCCACCTTCCCCATGGCCTTTTCAATCCGCCGCCACTATGTTCCCCTTTCCCTCTTCTTCCTACTCTTGCTGCTACCCAAACTTTACTCTCTAGATTCGAAACCAACCCACCAAATTTTCGCCCTGAAAACAGAGACCCACCACCGGATTATCAATTCCAGGCTGTTCGGCACCCTCGCCGCCGGTTCCAAATCCGACAAGATGCTCTTCCACCACAACGTCTCCCCCACCATTTCCCTCACCATCGGGTCGCCGCCGCAGACGGTGACCATGGTGCTCGACACGGGTAGCGAGCTGTCCTGGCTCCACTCCCAATCTCCATTGTTCTGGACCCTGCATTCAAGAAAAAGAGAACAGTGGACGTTTCTGATTTTCTCAGAACCACTTGCTCACTCTGTCAGAAAAAGAAGACAGACAGAGCTTCCTAGGCAGACAACACAGTTACCGAGGTAAACTTCACACAAGTGGATGACAGGCTGAAGACATCTGGCCGCACCTGAACCGCTCCGCATCTGCGCGAACTGTTGCTCGGAATTGGGGATTCGGGGAACATCTCTTGCACGCTCTGTTGCACCCTCCGCCGCTTAATTCCGCGCACGCAGTCCTCCGTACCTTCATTCGCGCAGTCAAATCTCTCAGGCGTCGATTCCTCGCTTTGGCCTCGCGATTTCAGTAGCGTTCTCCGCCCCTGCCTAGGTCCGCCCGCACCTCCGCTCTCATCGTCGCAGCGTGACCAGTGGTCATGTGCTCTTTGTCAGTCTACTAAGGAGGAAGAAACTGAAGAGCGCCAAATGCATGAAGGATAACGACGACCTTCGCTCTCCGCCTCTGAAGACAGCACGCTGATCATCGCCCTACTCTCTGCCGAATTAATAGAAACCTGGCCTCGTCTCAAACCGCGCGGCGCGTCAATTTGGAAGACCCGCTTCGTAATTGGCCGGCCTTGCTACCGATCCTCTGTTCGTCGCCTCGCCGGGCCGTGTTCTCCATATCAGTCGCGCTCGAGCTCCTTCACGGCCTTCTCCGCGCGGGTAAAAGAGGCGCCATACAAAGAGGAATATGAACCAGCAAAAAAAAAATTCAAGGGCGGGAGTTGAACCCGCGTAAAAAATAAACAAGTCAAGCACTCCGACCAGTTAGCTAATACTGGATACATGTCCAATATCGAGCGACGCAATTTTATAAATACTTCCCTCAGCCTATCCAACTGGCGGGCTAAGATGAACCCACCACTCGCGGCCTGCTCCGCCAGCTTCTTCAAGTTAAGCCCGCTCACACCCTCAACTCGCGGCACAAGTCCGCCTCAACACCACTCTTGCATCACGGCCCGCGCCGCACCTGGCCCAAGTCGCGATCGCTCAGCCCAAGTCACGGCCCGCGTCATGCTCCACACCGCGTCAAAAACAATATCATCGCCACCAAGATTTGATCCCGCGCCACTTCTCTGCCGAACAGAAATGTCAGCCAACAGACTATGTACACACCTTTTGATTTGAAGGCGCAGCACCTGCCTTTTAACTACTCTTGCCGCTCAGGCCCACGACGCATCCGCAATCCACACTCGCGCGCCATGTAGCCCAACTCGAGATCGACCGACGTTCGCTGCTGCTCCAGTCCCACGGCTATTGAGCCCACTACAGGCCCACCATGACCTAGCTCGTCTCCAACGCTGATCGGGCCATCTCCAACTCGCGGCGCGCGTTCAACAGACAAGGAACTCCTCAAAAAAAAAAAAGTTGTCGCCGCCAGTCCTCGAACCCGCGCCAATCTTCCACCAAGCAATGTTACCAATAGGCTACGTACGAGCATTCTGTTTCAATGGCGCAGCGACTGCTTTTCAACTACTTCTGCTGCCGCTCCACCAACATAAAGCTAAGTACTCTATCTCTTTCTCATTATTAAATATTGAAATATTTTACAGAGCGTTAATGGCGCTAATAGAGGGCACATTGCCTCGATGAAGCTACAAATAAGTCTCAACGAAGCACATAAATAGGACTTCAATAAGAGCATCGAAGAAGCTACAAATAAGTCTCAACGAAGCACACAAATAAGACTTCAATAAGAGCATCGAAGATCTACAAATAAGTCTCAACGAAGCACACAAATAAGACTTCAATAAGAGCATCGAAGACTCCAAACTGAGGGTTGAAAACCCCGACGAGGAGAGCTCCAAACTGAGGGTTAAAAGCCCCGACGAGGAGAGGGCACATTGCCTTGAAGACTCCAAACTGAGGGTTAAAAACCCCGACGAGGAGAGCTCCAAACTGAGGGTTAAAAGCCCCGACGAGGAGAGGCACATTGCCTTGAAGACTCCAAACTTAGGGTTAAAAACCCCCACGAGGAGAGCTCCAAACTGAGGGTTAAAAGCCCCGACGAGGAGAGGGCACATTGCCTTGAAGACTCCAAACTGAGGGTTAAAAACCCGGACGAGGAGAGCTCCAAACTGAGGATTAAAAGCCCCGACGAGGAGAGGCACATTGCCTTGAAGACTCCAAACTGAGGGTTAAAAACCCCGACGAGGAGAGCTCCAAACTGAGGGTTAAAAACCCCGACGAGGAGAACTCCACGAAGAATCTACAATGGGTGAAGGCTACACGCCTTAATGAAATACACCAACTGGGGGGCAAGACGCAAGAAGCTGGCACCGCGTCAGTCAAACGCGCCACCAGCTGGGGGGCAACTGGGGTACATAGGGCTCCACCCAAAATTACCGACGAAGATTTTTTAAAAAAGTAATAAGCTAGCGATGAGTTAAGACTCACCACTAGCTTGGGGGGCAATTGTTGGGGGTGTTACTAAATACTCCGTTCACAGACTAAGTAGGAGGGCGCAAAATCGGCGATGCGCGACGCGCGATACGCGCTACAGGTATATAAGGGCTTGAAGCCCCCCCAAAGAGGGGATTCCTTCTCTCTCTCCAGCACTTTCCACTTTCCCTTATCTCTCTACACCTTATCTCTCTACCTTATTCTCTCAACTCTCTCCTCAAACTTAAACTAATTTGATCGTTGGAGCTTAATCCGGGGGGCATCCCCGGTTCTTTCACAGGTTCTTCCCTCCCGACGAGATCAGACGATCGGATCGTGAGTCAACCCCACACAACAATCATTATTGTTCATACCTCGAGCAAGATGGTACGAACAACTTTCTTACCATATGGTATTAAATAGGAGCATACCATATGGTATTGACTGATAAAAATGACTCAATTTTTTTATTCTAAAAATATATCAAAGTGGACATCATTTTAAAAAGCCAAATTAATCTGATTTATATGTGCAAAAAAATTTTAATTTCGACTTAAAACGAAAGAGAAATCGACTGTTAAAGATTAAAGGGGAAAGGATAAAAGGCTTTCCATGAGAGTGAGGAATGTTGATGTCATACTAATGTGAACGGTTACTCACCATAAGGTTACTGACCTGATCCGCTCCCATTTTACACTCTTTAGGACCCCAAAAGGGCTCAAGATAGGGTGCATAACCATGGGTTATGCACCCATCAATAACCAAATCCGGACCCTTTATTTAGAAAATTCAGATCTAAGGAAGGAGAATTAAAGAGCTTTTTTATTTTTTCTAGCTTTCTTAATTGACTCATATCTTTTTCGTTTTAACTCGGATTTTAATTTTTTTTTTTTTGCACAGATGGAACGATTTCATCGTGCTCTACAAAATGAGATCAATTTTCAATATTTTTTTAGAAAAAAAAATTATGGCATCTCGGTACCAACTGCATACCATATGGTATCTTCTTCATTTTTAATTCGTTTTTTAAAAAGTTTGCACAGAAGGGACGAGTTCATCATGATCTATTGGATCTACAAATTTCTGGGTGAACAAATTACAGGACCAAAAAATACCACACAATACCATACAATACCACCCTGGTACGAGGTGGTATTGTATGGTATCTTCTTCGTTTTTAATTCGTTTTTGAAAACGTTTGCACAGAAGGGACGAGTTCATCATGATCTATTGGATCTAAAAATTTATGAGTGAATAAATTACAGGACCAAAAAATACCACACAATATCATACAATACCACCCTGGTACGGGGTGGTATTGTGTGGTATATAATGTTAAAAGTCGTAAATGACAATTAATATACTTCTACTATCATGTATTCAATCATCCTACAGTATTGGCTTGTTCATACCACCATGGTACGTTTTTCAAACCATAAGTATGCTTTTATTTCAATACAAGTAATACCATATGGTATAGACTTGTAAAAAATGGCTCAATTTTTTTTGTTCGAAAAATATATTAAAGTGGATATCATTTTGAAGAGCACAATTAATCTGATCTAACTGTGCAAAAAAAATTAAATTTCGACTTAAAATGAGTGAGAAATCGTCCGTCAAAGATTAAAGATGGGAAAATTAAAGGCTTTCCCGGAGAGAGAGGATGCTGATGTCATGCTGATGTGGACAGGTTACTCATGGTTACTCACCATAAGGTTACTGATCTGATCCATTCCCCAAAAAAACTCATAAATGTACTATATTTGTTCTTCCAGAGTATAGACAACAACATATGGACACCTACTTTAGATAATATTCATACATTATACTAAATGAATACTTGAAAGAGAATGAGCTTTTCAACCACAGTCAGTCCAATTAGGGTTGTTCAAATGGTTATTATGATAATTATCAAATCAATTATGACTAAATTGTTATTAACCATGGAGTATAATATGATGACAAAACTAATAAAATAACTTATAGGGTATGAAGGTAAAGCCTAATACTTGGAGAAGGTCCACAAGAAGAGTCCAAGAGAAGCCAAGACATAGGGGTAAAACCCTAGAGGCTTACATAACCAGAGGAAGAAGACAAGGTTAAGAGACAAGTTGGCACACCTGACATAAGCAAGAAAGAGGTCAGGGGACCCCCTCTGCACCACGAGACACCTTATGACAAGAAGTACAATGTAGAGTGACAGAGAGTCTGAGGTGCATGGACCACCCACATAACATCCAGACTTGTATAAATAAGAGTATTCTCCTCATGAAAGACAAGTTATCTACATTTACTACAAATTCTCTCTACTTTCTCTCTCTAGTATTTTTCCCTCGTGCTCTAGCTAAGAGTGGGATGTGCCTGCACTCTCGGAGTCATGTCTATCACCCCAAACCCCCCTTTGACTCGAGCAACCCCCTGTAACTTAGGCTCAAACAATTGGCCTCCACCATGGGGCCAGGCAATGTGGAAGATGGAATAATTGAAAGGCCACCTCTACCTTTAACCGATGGTTAGCGGCATGCCATTATTTGATAAGTACTAAGGGAATGTTGGAAGCGCCAAGACCTAACCTCGCAAGTCCAAACATCCCCGTGTACGAAGGAAGGACCGATCATGAAGGCCACATAAATGAATTTTTCGGAAGAGGCAACAACATATCCTATACTAAGAGTCTCCCTTTACCTTCACCGAAAGATGCAGCAATTGCGGGTCAAAACGCAAAAATGAAGGTGTGCTCCTTGGTCATGAATCTTAAAGAAAAAAGATAGTGCCTCCACCGCATCATGGCGTGATTGTTTTGAGGATATCGTCTTCTCTGCTTAGACAGATGGAGCTCATATAGCTCGCTTCCTCCGTCGAGGAGAAGCTAGGCGCGTTATTTCCTTTTCAGGAGTGTCAGTGCAATGCTTTGGGGAGCACCATCAACGGTTAAGGGTGTTGAACCCCACCGCTTTCTTTCCCACTAACGTGGAAGAGCCTTAGACCTTGTGCCCGATTCTTTAGTTGAGGGTCCGACGTCTGGATCACAGGTCCCCATGAGAGGCGATGTCCCTAACACATCCCTCGAATTTTTCCTGCTTAGACAGATGGAGCTCATATAGCTCGCTTTCTCCGTCGAGGAGAAGCTAGATGCGTTATTTCCTTTTCAGGAGTGCCAGTGCAATGCTTCCTACCGCTTGCTTTCCCACCAAAGTGGAAGATACTTAGAGCTTGTGCTCGACTCTTTGGTTGAGTGTCGGGCGCCTGGATCATAGTCCCCATGAGAGGCGATGTCCCCAACACGTCCCTCAAAATTTCCCTACTCAGACAGATGGAGCTCATATATTTCACTTCCTCCGTCAAGAAGAAGCTAGGCGCATTATTTCATTTTCAGGAGCGCTGGTGCAATGCTTTGGGGAGCACCACCAATGATTATGGGTGTTGAACCCCACCGCTTTCTTTCCCACCAATGTGGAAGAGCCTTAAAACTTGTGCTCAACTCTTTAGTCAAGTGTTGGGCGTCTGGACTACAGGTCCCCATGAGAGGTGGTGTCCCCAACACATCCCTCAAAAAATTTATAACATAGATATATCATTCTCTACCAAGGAAGTAGTGATGCTCTCGTCAAAGCTACTCCACATCTGGCTTGCTCGAAGAATAATCTGAAGAGCTAGAATCACTACCACCACCAGTAGTTGGCGCGCCCTCCTCGTTACCACTAGCAAGAGGCGCCTCAACTTCATGGAGAGGAGAATTCGTCAACTTCATATCAAATTGAAAAGCAAAGAAGAGCGCAAGCGCCCAGGCGATCATGCCTCGGTGAGGAAAGAAAGAATGATAACAGGACGAGGCTCTCCCAAGATTGACACCAGAAAGAATCGCTCTCCACCCAACGAAAAACGCGTCTGCTAACATACAGGAGCAAACAAGGCCACATGTTGCGCCCGAGAAAGGCTAGAAAGCAAGTAAAGATGATTGGCGCAAAAAATCTACCCTACAAGAATCAAAATCGACTCTTCAAACTAAGGAAAGAGCGTTAGTGAGGGGAAGCGCATGGGCGCTTAGCAAGTTTTACTAAACCAATGGATAGTTGAACCGATGTAAATGATAAATCTTGACGCTCGGAGAAAGGAGAAGGGGCCTCGAGCATTGGAGTGGAAGAAAGAAAGTGCATGAGCGCCTAACAATTCTTTAAAATCAACAAGGGAGCACAAGTAAAGGAGTCAACCACCAATGCTTAAAGTTGAAGAGATGAATCAAATGGGGAAGCTATCTGTGGCTTTAGGAAATTAACAGGAGGCACACAAACATAGCGACGGAAAGCTAGCGCTCATGTCTAGTAAAAAAGAAAACTACTTGCCTATCAGGAGATTGCCCAAGCATTATTCCATGCTAAAGAACCAAAAAAGCAAGAATGAAGAAAGTCAAAGCGACGCTCAATCGAATAAAATTGATAAAATTGAAGGGTTGCATGGCACTAAGCAAGTTCAAACTGAAAGTTCATATCTTGAGCGTTTAAGTGCTCAATAGAATTAAAGAAAAGCATTGTCGTCTATATGCACAGAGAGACAATCAAGTTAACGGAAAATCAGCCACGAAGAAGCGCACAAACGCATGAAAGTAATCAAGTGGTATTGGCAACAAGCAAGTTCAAAGGAAAAATAAAATGATGTTGACTTTGGAAGCGCATGAACGGTTAATCGAACCAAAGGAAACGAAATGCAATGGCGCTCGGAGGCCTTAATGAAAGGAAAAGTAGAAGCGCCTAGAACCTTTATAATGTGGGTCTCAGAAAGGGACATAGCTGAAGGTACGTTAAAAAACAAGGGATCAAGGCGCCCAAACCCTGTGACTAGGCGCAAGACGACAAGAGGAATTCACCAAAAGATAATTATAGCAATGTACAAAAGAAGCATGGCGCCCAACTTGTTTAACGTATTTGATTTCTCCGGAACACTGGAAAAAATAAAGAAAGAGCGCTTGAACTAGAGGACAAAGACATAAACACTCAATTTGTTGTATATGACCTAGCAGCATGCTCAGAATCGTCGACATGACTCAAGAGGCTGTCAAGAAGAAATAGAGGCAAGTCCTCCATGAGTTGTGTCAATAAAGGAGAGAGTGCTAGATCTTGAATTAAATGTTGGTGATGCTAAGGTTGGGCAAAGTAGAAGCGCCATGCGCTCTGAAAGAAATGAGTGAATAAATAAAGAAAGAAAAGTCTCGAGGGACAGAATGAGAGAGCGTTAGTCGCTCAATAAAGGAGAAAAGTCACACAAGTCAAGGTTGGAACGGAAAGCTCGTTCAAATGAAGGGGTGGCGGCTCTAGCGATTAGCAAAGTGGCATGTGCTCAAAAAATCTGGACACTACAACAAATTCGGTCTATTATGACAGAAGTTTTGTTTTGTCATTTTCTATTTGTCACAATAGGTATGGTAATATGACAAAAATAATAAATGTCCTACTTGGTATGCCTAATGTGACAAAAAAACTTATTGTCAGAATAAGTCGTCATTTAAAGTGAGTACTGTGACAAATGTTTCGTGTCGCAATTAATTTTGTCAAAATAGGCATCCCATATCGGGATGTAAAAGACTCAACAGTGACAAATATCTTGTTGTCAGAATAGTTCGTCATTTAAAGTGAGTAATGTGACAAATATTTCGTGTCACAATTAAATTTGTCAAAATAGGCATCCCATATCGGGATTGAAGAGACCCAAAAGTGACAAATTATATCGTGAGAGAAGCTTTTGTCATATTATGCCTTCCTAAATTGTTTAAATGACAAAGTATTTTGTCACAATAGATAGAAATAATCTCACGACGAGCTGACAAAAGGGCATCTTCGTCATAATATAGTGGTTTTGGCTTTGACAAAAGACATGTATTTAATCAATTCGTGTATTGTAATTTAAAGCATTGTGTCAATGTGAATTTGAAAAATACATTGTTTGGAGGTTGAATGATTTAGTTAATTGACCCAAAAGCTGACTTTTTCTTAGGCGGGATTGAATCTGTCGGTTACCCAAAAATTTCAAAGTATTGTAGCGGCACACTTCTTTTAAATATAGGGTTTAAGGTTTTCTTTTCATCATATAACTAAAAAGTAAAAAGAGGTTGGTTGGAGAAAAAAGAAGCGAGATATTGAGGCCCTACGCATCAGTGTGTTCGTCATGAACGAAGGTGATCTCTGAGTTTGAATTTTTTCGTCCTTATTATGGTTTCTCACGTTTTATAAAATTGGTTGTTCGACTGTGGCTAGTGAGCTGGTTTTATGATTTTTTTCGTCCTTATTATGGTGCTCGTGAGCGGGTTTTATGCATTGTTCAGGAAATCGTACCGGACATCATACCGGATTACTTTCCGGTAGGGTGTTTTGTGCTACGACCGTGGTTCAGTAGTTTCGTACCGGTAAATACCGTTTTTGTAATAATCAAATTTTTTTTCCAAAAAACCGTGCCGACAAAATCATAGTATCGTTTCGGAGTAATACCGGACTGTACCGGATAATAAATACTAAATACTTTAAAATATCAATAAATACTAAAAGATATCAATTAAAATAATTAAAAAATAAAACTATTTCACCCCCACTCCGTCCCATCCCAATTTCTCTCCCCATTCTGTCCCACTCCCATCCCAATCTTATCTTCTCCATCTTAATATTTAATTCCAACTCTCCTCTCTCTCTTTCTGGTTTGCGAGAAGTTGCAGAGGGATCTTCCCCATCTAATTCTAATTCCAACTCTCTTCTATATCTTTTTTGCGAGTAGTTGAATGAGGGATGTGGTCCATATTCCTTTACTCGTTTTATGGAAACTGAAGGTCCCAAACGAAGTCGTTTTATCAACTAAAGGGGCAAAATAAAAAAGTGGCGTCTCTGCGTATGCATTGCAAAACCCTATCTTCTCCCACGAATGCGCCTCAACCCTCCCCTTCGTCTCTTTGTTCACAAGGGCAGGCTGCTCTACGAATGCAATCAAGCCGCCACTATCGGCGATCCCGCCACCCCACCATCGGTCGTGACTCGCCAGCTCTACCGTCCACCGCGACCAGAACTGCACCGCGATGCGAACTCCTCGACGAGCCAAACTCCAGCGCGAGGCTACACCACGAGTCAAACTCCATGGAGATCCTTCACCGCCACCCGAGCTGGACTGCGAGCCTCCACCGCAGATGACTCCTCAATTTTCTCATTCATCCTTTCAATTTTACTTGTTCCTCTGTTTCTTGTCCAATAGATTTTTTTTAGAAAGACAGACGCAACAAGCTTGAGGTTTGTAGCTTTTAAATGATTTTACTTGTTCCTCAGTTTCTTGTCATAATTTTCTTTTATTTTATAGCTTTTAAATGATTTAAGTATTTTGTTTTCTGTGTTGAAGGTATTGATGTTGGGCGTCGATGAGGATCAACGGGTTGATTGTTGTGTTGGTGGTGGTGAGGTGGCGAGCGGTGGGGGTTTGAGATGGCTTGAGGCACGTCTTTGTCCGATTTGGGTTCAGAAGGCCGAGCGGCGGAGATGGTCGATTCGCCTTCCCCTATAGTTTCTGGGTTTGGGGGTGGTAGTTTATGGGTGTCAAAGGGTTCTGATTATTGGGTTTGGGGGTTTGATTTGAAAGAAGCTTTGTGGATTTCTAAGAGGGGCTTTGATTGGAGAAAGCCGAACCAGATTGAAATTATGATTTTTTTCTCCTCGATGGTTTAGTTCTTGGATTGGATTGAGGGGTTCTGTTTTTTCATTTCTGTGGTTCTGAAGAAGATGTGTTTCTGTGGTTTCTTAAAAAAAAAGAAGTGGAAGAGACATAGGGAAGTGACTAGAGATTGAGACCAGAGAAAGAGAGCAGTCGTTGGAAATTGTAGGTAAAAAGTGGTAATCAGGGTAATGTAAAATAAATTGTCATATAGTACCTACAAATAAATTACATTTCAATCATCTAATTATCAAATTGCTATAATTATGTATATATTCTTTAATATTCGGGCTAAATCAGGTGAAAACGATCCGATCATTAACCCTTAACCCGCATGCTCAATCGGACCAACGGACTAAACCGGGTTAACAACCTTGCTTGTGACAAAATGTAGTTGTCACAACATACAGTTATGACAAAATAAAATCGTGTAATATGACGAACAATTCTCCCAAAATCACCAGATTATGACAACCGCAATGATAAAATATTTCGTCATAACATCTCTGTTTGTCACAATAGACTACCCAGACCCTCGGCTATACTGAAAGCAAATGTGACAACCTTGTTTTAAAATTTTGTTACATTTGACCTATCCTGACGGCGATCAAATGACAAACCTTTGTGACAACACCTTTTGTCATATTATGTCATATTATACATAATATGACAAAATGGGTATCTAATATGACAAAATTGCCTCGTCGTAATAGGCCGAATTTGTTGTAGTGGGATGAGCCATGGCGATATGGTGTGGCGAAGTAGAACGACAAGCGCTCGAAAATGCTAGAATGAGGAAAAAGGAAAATAACAGTAGAGCTAGGTGTGTGTCAAACACAAAGAAAAAATGAGAGGAAAAGCTTACCATAGTGGTAGGAGTTTTCAATTTTCATGAGGGAAGAGTAGAATAAGATGAATGAAGTCGATATCGCTGAAGACGGGTGAAGCTCAAGCTCTCAAAATAAGGGGAAACTCAAGGGTGTTTTTAGAAAGGATTGAAAATAGTCACCGTCAGTAAGCTCATACATCGTGGATCGGGGGCGTTGCCTCCGAACCCCCATCGGAGGCCACCTTGCACCCCTAAATCGAGCGCTTCGCCCCTGGACCCCTACTCGCTGACCAGTTAGAAAGACCATCGTGACTTCCAATCGACCGCTAATAATTTTTCTTCAAGTCATAGAGACATATCGTGCCAAGCCAAACCCTTCTCCTTGCATCGTCTCTCACTATACACAAAGATCATGGGAAAACCAGACCTCAAACCCCAACTGAAGGTCAGGCACCTCACTGAAGGAGTGAGGTGTTAGGTGCCCAACTGAAGGTCGGACACCTCGCTGAAGGAGTGAGGTGTCAGGCACCCTATCAAAGGTCAGGCTCCTCGACAAAGGAGTGAGTCGCCAGGCACCCCACTGAAGGTTAGACGCCTCCCTGATGGAGTGAGGTGCTAGGCGCCCAACTGAAGGTCAGGAACCTCGAGAAAGGAGCGAGTCGCCATGCACCTTGTTGAGTTTGGGTCTTAAGGCAAATAACGACAAATTGGGTTACAAGTGCTTAGCCAAAACATCAAAGCAAGCACTCTTCTAAAGAGCACAAGTAATTGAAAGAAAAATGGAGCAGTTCAGACAATGAATGGAAAGCATGCGATTAGCAGGGGGCATCTTTTGGCAAAAAGAAGAAAATGGGAAAAGAGCGTCAGGCGCTCGTTTCAAATGGGAAAGGTACAAAGTGTTCAAAGGAAAACTAAGAAGTTTGTTTCAATTTCAGTTGATTGTCAAGATAGATTGAATCCTCTGACACGAGCTAAAACGCTCAACTAGCGTGGAAGAAGATCGTATCAGCAGAGCATAGAAGCTCCTAACGCGATCCTAGGTGCATCCTCTAAGATGCAAGAGCAGGCACTCAGGAAATAATTGATGAGGAAAGGAAGAATGCAAGCGTCGGGTGCTTAATAAAAGGGGCATGATTGCTTCTTTAGCTAGTCTCTGTTACTTGAGATTAGGGATGGCAATGGGTTGGGTTGGGGCAGGTTTTGTCAAACCCAAACCCAAACCCATGGGTTTATCCGCCAAAAAAATCCGGGGTAAAACCCGTTGGGTTTGAAAAACTCAAACCCAACCCAACCCGCTGGGTATCCGCGGTTTCATGGGTACTCGTGGGTTTTTGTGGTAAAAAAATTACAATAACAAGTTTCTTTCAAAATAAAAGTTTAACATCAATTTTCTCATACAAATTAATCATAGAAAAAACATCAATCTAGAGCATACAAGCAAACCGCAAATGATCAATACAAATTGTTCAAAATTAAAGATAAACATCTATAAACAAAAGATTAATTGAAAGCTTCTTACTCGTCAACTAAGTTTCTTCATTCTCCACTTCATAATATCAACTTCATTCTAAACAATTAGAAAGAACAAATTATACATGTCTCCACAAACATAAAGAATATTAATTGTTTAAGGAAAATATATTATTTAGAATATTAAATATACCGGGAAAGTAATTATATGTGTGTGGGCGGGTACCCATGGGTCGGGTTTACCTAAACCCAAACTCAACCCTACCCAGTGAATAGTGTAGCGGGTTTAAACCCGAACCCGGCCTCAAAACCCGTCAACACGGATTTTACCCGTGTTGACCGGGTTGGGTCGGGTGGGTACCCGTGGGTTCGTTTTGTTGCCATCCCTACTTGAGACATGTGCTTATTCTTTCTCATTTACTATATCTTGTTTGGAAGCAAGCACACCCACGAGGCTGCACAAGCGCTCAACAGATAAGAAGATCATAAGGGAATGAAGCACCCACTTGAAAGGAAGAGCCTGGTGCCGATTAAGTAAAGAAAGAGAGCTGGCATTTGATCGAGAAGACGAGAAAGCAAGGTTAGCAAAAGACACTTTATGTTGACGCTGCCATGATACTCATACCGACGCCAAAGGGGAAATGGATAGGGTATGAAGGTAAAGCCTAATAGTTGGAGAAGGTCCACAAGAAGAGTCCAAGAGAAGTCAAGACATAGGGGCAAAACCCTAGAGGCTTACATCGTCAGAGGAAGAAGACAAGTTGGCACACCAGACAACAGCAAGAAAGAGGTTAGGGGGACACCCTCTGCACCACCAGACACCTTCTGACAAGAAGTACAATGTAGAGTGATAGAGAGTCTGGGGTGCATGGACCACCCACAGAACATCCAGACTTGTATAAATAGGAGTGTTCTCCTCATGAATGGCAAGCTATCTACATTTACTATAACTTCTATTTACTTTCTCTCTCTGGTCTTTTCCCTCTTACTCTAGCTAAGCATGGGTGGCGTCTGCACTCTCGGAGTCATGTCTATCACCCCAAACCCCCCTTTGACCCAAGCCACCCCCTCTCACTTAGGCTCAAACAACAACCAAATTAATCAATAAAGTTTAATTGATTTTGTTAATTGGTTAAACGAGTTAACCAATATGACTTAATATTATCATTACTTAATAAATAATCTCCATGTAATGCATGAACTCATAATTTATATAATGAATAAGGTATAACAATCAACATATAGTTAACCGACATAAATACATGCAACTAATAGAATTATCTAAGTCATTAGAAGTAATCACCTAACAAAATACATAAATACATGCAACTAATAGAGTTATCTCAGTCATTATATATATGGCAAAGTCTGGCGTACGCCCGGATGTACCCTAGCCTACCGTACGTTGAGTTTTGCTATTTAGACAATGAATTAACCGGAGTTTGGGTAATGATATTATACCCTAACCCCTAATGGGTAAACCCCAGTCCGCAATTCACTAACCCAAAGCATAATATTCATTTAATCTTGAAATGAAAATCAACGGTTCTGATTCGTCGAAATTATTGTTGATTTTCATTTCAAGATTAAACAAATCTCATGATCTACGGTACCCAGGATGAAATCCTGGGTACCGCATACCTTGAGTAAGAAAACAATATCCAGAATTTGAATTGACTGATCTTTCGGACATGATACTATGCTCTAACCCTTAAAGATCAACATCTAGGTCTTAATTCTCTAAATCTTATACCCCAAGATCAATTTAATTAGAAACAATAATCGACGGTTATGATTCGTCCAAATATAGGCAAAAAATCAATGCACCATCTTAGGGTTTATAGTTTATGATTTAGGTAATTAGGACTTAGGCTTCACTCATTAACGGTTAAGGTATAATATCATGCCCAAAAAACCTGCTAATTCGAGGTCTAGATAGCGTTTTCATAATCAAGGTATGCGGTACCCCGAATTTCACTCAGGGTACCATAGAAGGCACTATATATGTGTGTATGTGTGTGGTGGCTACTTCGGTGCAATCACTTTTTTGAGTGCACCCATCTCTAAAAGTGTCCATAATACATCAAATTTTGAACTTTAATTAATACTCTCAATCTAATATGATGATATGTCATAGTATCATAACAAATCAATCTATTACTCTAACCCCTTAACCTTCAATTTTGAATCCCAATGCAAAATCCCAAACTGTAAACCTAAACCGTAACCATAAACTCCTAAATCTTAAATCCTTCAAATTAAAGTAAATCTTAAATAATTTTTTTTTCAAATTCATGTGCTTCTTGTTCATACTATCATAAGCAACAATTGATACCGTTTTGACATAAATTGCATGCTCAGAATGATGATTATGAGGCGAGTGCACCCAAAAAAGTGGGTGTGCTTAATACCTCACCATATATAATTATATATATATATGGCGAGTTCTACGGTACCCTGGGTGAAATCCGGGGTACCGCATACCTTGAGTATGAAAACACTATCTAGACCTTGAATTGACCAATTTTTCGGACATGATACTATACTCTAACACTTAAAGATCAAAATCTAGGTGTTAACTCTCCCAATCTTATACTCCAAGATCAATTTAATTAGAAATAATAATCAACGGTTATGATTCATCCAAATATAGGCACAAAAAGGAATGCACCATCTTAGGGTTTATAGATTATGATTTAGATAATTATGACCTAGGGTTCACTCATTAAGGGTTAGGGTATAATATCAGACACAAAAATCCTAGTAATTCGAGGTCTAGATAGAGTTTCCATACTCGAGGTATGCGGTACCCCGGATTTCACCCGGGGTACCATAGAAGCCACCATATATATATATATATGATAACTGTATGAAATTAATAAATTGATTATATCTGTGTGAATTGTCTTAATTATATTTTGGTCCTCATAAATTTATTAAAAATCATTTTTTTCATAAATAACTATGGGAAACCAAAGAAGTTTCTTAATCTCCATTGGTGCAATTGCATTTGTTTTTTTATTGTTACTTCATTTTTTTGCAATCCAACTCATCTTACTTGCATTGGACCACATCAATGCAGTTAACTTGCAATTGCAACTAATTTTTTTAATTTAATTTATTAAAATATACACACTCAAATAATAAAATTAATGAATAATTTAATAATAAAAAAGATGATGTGGCTTGCATTCCATAATTGTATTATATGCAAGCTTACAAAGATGCATTGTCATCTACATCAATGCAATTGTATAATGCAATTGTAAATGAATGTCATGTCATAATGCAATTCTAAATGCAATTCCAATGGAGATGCTCTTATATTTCTAAATGAAACTCAAATCTCGCCCAAAAGTCTAATACTAGTCACTTGGCGAACAACTTTCGAAACTCTTTTTTTAACACTTTCGAAACTCTATGGGTTTAATGGAAGCTATTTCGATCTAAATAGATGACCTAATATTTAATAAGCTTGTTACCGCGAGGTAACATGAGTTTAAACCTAATTATCCTCAGAAATAATGACAATTTTCTTTATAAAGAAAACTCGTTAAGACTGGTTATAAGTTCAAGTGTTTTCCATAATATTGATTATGAACAACATGTACCCGAAGGAATTACATTGCTTAGGATAGAATACGAAAGTTGAATAAAATTCAACGAGAGCGTAAAAAATAGCTTACTTTATATAATATCTCTCAGTAATTTCTACAAAAGTGGAGTCTAACAATAGTTGGTTTAAGAGCCCTTGTGAATAGGGATGGCAAAAATATCCGTAACCGTGGATATCCGTCCGAACCCGGCCTAATTGGGTAGGATAAAACCCGAACCCGAATATTGCGGGTAGTGGGTGGGCATGGGTTTCTCACTATCCAACCCGAACCCGCCCGATTATACACATACATATGTATTTTGTCTAGAAATAATAATTATTTTTTCTCTAACATATTTTATATTTAGCATATAAATATAATATTTTCATGAAATGGTGTTGTTTAAATTAATTTTCTTCATTCTAGTGAATTATTGTCATACTTTTCCTCTCACGTAATGTGAGAAACGTATGAAAGTTAACATATTGGTTGGAGTTATGAAGAGAAATCATTATCCATGGATAACCGTGGATACCTGAAACCCGAACGAGTATGGGCATGATTTTAATTTTCTACCCGTTTCACATGTGGGTATGGGTATGGGTAAAACCCGAACTACTTTGGGTAGGGTAACGGATATGCACTATCCGTCCCCGACCCGACCCATTGCCATCTCTACTTGTGAATTAAAAATATTAAAAAATAACATTTTTCTGAAGTTCATAAGATTTTTGGTGATAAGGAAAAGAAGAGCGACAACTTTTGAAATTTAGTAAACAAAATATCCATAAAAATGTTCTCTCCATTCTAGCAGAATGTACTTATATAGAGTTAGTGATACTTCCCTTAAAAAAACAATGCCTTTAGTGCACAATTTCACCAATTAGTAAACTCAAGTGACATTATATTATTTTACCCATTAAACACATTATATTATCATCATCTCATCAACTACCTTTCTTCAAACAATTATTATTATTATTATTATTTTATTATTATTATTATTATTATTATTATGTTATAATAACGCAAGTAACCGTCCATTAATTTTACTGTTTCATACGAAAAACCCGCTTAACCCAAACCCCTAACGAAAACACTGTTCATTGGGGATTATTATTATAATATAATTAATTTGAGTTATAACCACCTACGGGTAGGTGTATGCACAATGAAAATGAGGAATTCATGTAACCTCTTCCCAAATTCTATCCCATGACGTAACTACTATATATTGAATTTTTGCATCATCAATTTCATGAATACCTTTAGTATTAACTTAATAATTAGTAAAGCAAGTTCATAACTTAATTGCATTATTAACTATACCATCAATTTGCATTACACAAAGGTTCCCTAAGGCAAGGTTGTCAACCCAATTTAGCCTGTTGACCCATTCGAGTAAGTGGATTAAGGGTTAATGGTCTTATTGCTTTGACTCAGTTTGACTCGAACATATGAAAAATATCATTATATTATTCACATATTTATAAATTATATCAAATATCATATAACAAATGGGTAATAAAATATAACATTAAAATTATATCAAATATTATATAACAAATGGGTAATAAAATATAACATTAACTTGGATCCAACATGTAATGAAAATTCAAACATTCTCAAATATTCAACTAAAAAATCCAAATAAAGATAGATGAGGCGAAGGGAAAAAGAGGCACAATTCGCAAACCAAAAGAAAATATGACATCTTTTGACCTCTAACACTAGAACTTTGCTACGAGTCAACCAACTGGTGTGTGATCCATTTTACTCACCGGGTCAGGGTCAATCAGAGTTAAACCGGAGGTCAACCCACGGGTTTACAACCTAACAGTAAGTTAAGTTAAATTCTATATAATAGTTTAATCAAATGTAATACTTACATAAATTACAAATACATTACGTCAATGATAGTTGTTTCTTATATAACGATTAAACAAACTTTTATTACATTAACTACAATATTTACCATATCATCAATTTGTGTTACGCAAAGGTTTCGTAAGATAAATTAACTTCTACATAATAGTTTAATAAAATATGATATTTTTGCAACTTGGTTTTATTATTAGACCAAAAATTATGAAATGTAATACGGTTCTATAAAAGTTATGTAAATTAAAAATACATTACGTCAAACTTATGGAAGTAGTTATTTCTTATATATAAATTAAATATAACGTGATATGTTAAGTCTTTCCTAACGATTGAGACATTTTGTAAAATTTATGAAAGGATAATTATTTATTATGTATCAAATAAATAAAAATGTATTACATAGTCTTCCATGATATGAGTTTGATTCAAATTTTATTTATTATTAACTAAATTATTTACCATCTCATTAATTTACATTACACAAAGATTCTATCAGGTTTATTTCAAATTAGAATTTCATTATTATTGACTAAATGGTTGATCATCGCATAAAAAAATTTTTTCCGTTTAATTCGCATCAAATTTCATTACACAACGATTTTATAAGATTTACATAAAAATTTGATCGAATGTGATAATTTTTAAAACTTAATTATTTTATTAGTAATTAAATTTCTTTAATTATTACTTAAAATATTTACCATCCATCAATTTTCATTACACTAATGTTCCATTAGGTAATTAACTTTGACATAATAATTAATCAGTTGTGTTACTTTTTCTTAACTTGGTGTTATTATCAGAATATAAATTACAGAAAATTTACATAACACCATTTTGTAACATAAATAATAAATACAATTCATAATTTTAATGAACATTTTTCTTTTATGTATCAATAAAGCAAGCATTTTTACGTAAATCATACCGCCGCGAAGCACAGGCAAAAAAACTAGTTACTATTAAACACACTATATTATCCATCATCACATCAACAACCTTTATACAAACAATTACTATCAAACACACTACATTTTCCATCATCCCATCAGGCATCAACTACCTTCTACGGAAGCTATCTTGAAGTTATATTGCAATAACTACACCATTTGACAACAAAAATAACGAAAAGCACAACAGATCTTATGGTAATGGCACAACTGGCCAATTGAAATCCATTGAGATCGCATGGAATAATGATCACATAACAGGAACGGCACTTTAGCTCGCATTATTAGCTTCCGCTATAAACCAGAGTACACATATACTGATATACATACCACTACTCTCTAGCTAACTGTACAAATATAATGGCACATTCATCCTTGTCCTCCTTGCTTCCAAAAATAACTCTGATAGATCAATCGTGATTGTTGCAGCAATGCTTGCTCACTAAATGGTTAATTCAGCCATGGGTATCAAAGCTTGGACCAAAATTTCCTAAACGCTTCTGCAGAACCATTGTTCTGATAAGCTGCTGAAGGTTTTACTGAGAGACCAGACCTACAAAAGAGTGCTTCTCAAATGAAACTAACCTATTATCCCTGCTTTTCATATTTCTCGGCAAACCTCTTGAGCAGCAACTGCTGCCGAAAAGCCAGATACGTATCCACGCTAGTCCCAGCCCACTGCTGACAGAAAGATTCATCAGTTGGAACAAATGAACTCAGTGGGAAAGGCCCCTCCGGAGCTTTCTTTAGAGCAACCAGGAACTTGTGGCGAGGGCGGATTCTCTGGTCCAAAGACAAGCTGAAGTACATGGGATATTTGGTCAAGGACTGTACTCCATTGTGGAGTTCATTGATCAAGTACGTGTACTTGGGCTTCAAATTGTCTTCCAATGACAAAGATAATACCTACACGACATGGCATAGACTACAAAATTAGAACATCTGCGACCAGTATGCAAAGTTGCAACACTGCTCAAGAAGATTGACGATAGGGAAGAAGGAAAACTCACCTGTGTAAGATTAGTCAAGACTTTGACGATTTCAGCATCATTCATCCCAATACTCCTCAAGAAGTTGATCCGAGGAAGCAACCCATCGTAGATGCTGTAGTGCAAGAACTGAGGATGCTTTGTTACCATCTTTACCACGCTCTCTCTGGGGGCACCCAGTTCCTCGGACAGAAAGATATATCGGCTATTCCACGAAATATCGATCCTCTGGACCAAGATTTGAGGGCTCAACTGCACGACTTTGCCAAGGATCTTTTCATTTATCCCGACCTCCTCAACCAAGTACCGAACAGTTGGCTTCAACGAATTCTCGACGCTGTAAGAAAACAAGGAAGGAGCAGCAGCTATGATCTGTCCAATTCTGGAGTTTGGAATGCCTAAACCGATCAAGAAAGCAACATGAGGCTTCAAATTCTTCTCAACTGTGTATTCCAGAATCTGCGGCTGCCTCAGAAGTATCCGCTTGACATCCCTTTGTTTCACACCCACGCTCAGCAAGTACTCCAGCCTCTCCTTTGCAGAAATGATGTTGATCTGCAGAGATGCCGTGTGCCTCTCGTAAATTTGGACAAAGTGAGACTCTTTGAGGCCGAACGTAGTTAGATAATCCAACAACGGAAACCATCTCTTATCTAGCGCTATTTCTTCATAGAGCTTCTCGTAGGTATTATTATCAGCAGTTTTCCTTGTTATCTGCTGGAACCAGAAAGAAACATCTAATGTAAGCTCGTTCCTGCACAATTTCACACACATGTAGCGAAAGAACCCCTCCGAGTTCAAGAAATTATATACCTTTGGATTGCTTTTCGTGTGGCGCAAGTTTCTAACACCAGCTTTCTCTCTTGTTTTCGCAGTCGACTGTTTAGGCCTGCCTGGATGCAGAGGAGTCAGTCTCCAACCAACCATGAACTTGTTCCCCAAACTATGAACTGTTAAAACGATTCATCCATCCATTCCATACCTTGTTTGGCAATGGTTTTCTTCTTTGACTTAACCCTCTTCCCATCAACCTCAAACTGAACTGAAGGTTCAGCAAATTCATCCTGGAGAAAAATCAGTCCATCATGATTCACAAATAGCAAATAAGTGAATAATCTCAATCCCAAGTTTAAACTCATTCCCCAATGGGTAATCTCTCTCAGAAAGAGAAATTACTCATGGGGGTTGAAAATGGAGACAAGGGTAACTCACATTCAACAGCCAATCGTCGCCGTGGTCGAATTCAAATTCGTCTTCCTCTTCATCCTCTTCATCGCTACTGTCATAGGGATTCAACGTCTCGCCGAACTTGGACTTGCGATTGGACTTGAGTATCTTAGCATTGGAATGCGTGTAGGAAACCACGAACTTGCAGCTCCTTTTACCCACTGGACGGAGGAGCTGAAACTCGAGCCCCGTCGCCGCCGCGGGAGAGCACTGGAGCGTTGGATTGAAGGGATAGAGGGAGGAAACTGCCATAGATAAGGTTAAGATAAGGGGGAGGGGGAAGAATATACCCTAAAACCCTAGTTGGAGAATCCAATTTGGAAGGTTTTGTTGGTGGGGATTGCTACTTTATCTTCTTCCTCTTCTTCTTTCATGTTCAGTGGCTGAGGATCGACGGATTGAAGTGGGAACGTTACTCAACTGCTTTAACTGGCTATAGGTAATGAGAAGAAATGGCGGGTGGCCAGCTGAATCGAATTATCTGCTGATATTTTGAGAGCGGTCGGACGGACTGACGGCCGGCCGGCCTTCTTCTGCGGGTCAGATTCATCGGATCCACGCTTGTGGGCCTTCTCGACGATTCTCGGGCCCGATCCCAGTGGATAATGTAGAAATTACAACTCGCTCTTAGAGGTCTACCTTCGTCAACATTTCAGTCCCTGTTTTTCTTATTTTTTATGAAAATCACCACTATATCTTAATCATGAATTGAGGATACCATAATTATGACAATAAAATCAGGAAAAAATCCCAAAATACTCTAATTATTAAAAAAATTCCCAAAATACAGTACTTATAAACATATTTCCCAAAATACAGCAGTTTCAACATCACTGTTGTAGACCAAAACGGTGATGTGTTCCCCGCGTTTATGCAAAACGGTGATAGTCGACCTTATCATCGTTGTTGACGAAAGCGATCACATCATCACCATGGATTAAAGCGGTGATAATTGACACGTTTAAGAGCCCTGGTAGGTGGGAAATTAGGTCACAGCTACCTAGCTATCACCGCTTTGGACAAAAACAGTGATGTGTTCACCGCCGTTGTCCTCAGCGGTGATTGCTAAATAATTTTCCTATAAATACTGACCTCCACTTCCCTTGTTGCTACCTTACAGAAAATTAGTACAAAAATTAGTGTTTTATTAGTCGTTTTCTCAGCTGGTTTGGAGTTGGTTTACTGCTCAAGAAACTCGTCGGGATTCGGTATGTTATAATTATGTAATGTTTACATGTTGATGTGTTAGTAATTTATATGTCTGTATTTAGTGAATTGCGGTTATTGGAAAATATGTTATGATATATTTAGATTAATTATGATATGATAGATGTTAGTTAGTTAGTACAGAATTTAGATGAATTTGTTTAGTTTTCTCATGATAGATCGGGAGTCGGTATGTTATAATTATGTATTGTTTACATGTTGATGTGTTAGTAATGATATGTCTGTATTTAGTGAATTGCGGTTATTGGAAAACATATTATGATATATTTAGATTAATTATGATATGATAGATGTTAGTTAATTAGTTATGAATTTAGATGAATTTGTTTAGTTTTCTCATGATAGATCGGGCTTCGGTATGTTATAATTATGTATTGTTTACATGTTGATGTGTTAGTAATTATATGTCTGTATTTAGTGAATTGCGGTTATTGGAAAAAATGTTATGATATATTTAGATTAATTATGATATGATAGATGTTAGTTAGTTAGTTATGAAGTTAGATGAATTTGCTTAGTTTTCTCGTGATAGATCAATTACATGCGTTTGTTTATGGGTTTGGATGATATTGTTTTTGTATCCCTAATGTACTAATTATATACTATACTTAATTATTATAAATTGCAGACATGGGTAAATTTAAGAAGTTTCGGCTTATTATTCGGTGGAATGGTCGGGTGACAAACTCGAACATTGGGATCGACTATGAAAATGGCGAATCCACTATGCTAAAAATTGAGTCGAGATTCTCGTGGCAAGAACTCCATGACATTTGTGCAGAAAGGACTTGTACGGGCGGGCAAAGGAGAGTTGGTCAAATTGCTTACCGCTATCCAAACATGAGTGCTGGCGGAGTCATGTACGAAAAAGTGTTCATAAATGATGATGACTCGGTGAACATGATGATACAGTTCCTATCTGACAACGGGGTGCGGCTTGCAGAGGTGTATGTAGAGACCGAGCCGGTCGGTGAAACTCATTCTCACCAGTATTCTTGTGATGATGGTTTTGCAGGAGGGTATGGCTGGGGTGGTAGTTCAAGTAACTACGGAGGAGGTACTTCTGCAGGAGGGTATGGCTGGGGTGGTACTTCAAGCAACTACGGAGGAGGTAGTTATGAAGGAGGTGTTGGGTGGGAAGAATACCCGCAACATACTGAGACTGCCGTCAATATCGTTCATCCCGACGGTGATCAATGGCCTGCTTGGGGTCCAGAGTGGGCTGACATTGAGAACACCCTTCGATCTGGGCGTTCTTCGCATGACCAACAAGACGATGTTGGTTATGCTGGTAACGATGACCATCCTGAGTCGAGCTATCCATTCGCCTCTAGTGACGATGAAAGTGAGGAAGATTTGAGATCAGTCAGTGAGTGTCCGGGCCTATATTAACCTCCATTTGGATGTGGTCAACAAGCCACGGGACCGATACTTGCCCCGCATTCAGTGGTGGATGCCCAACCCCGTCGACGGGCGTGGTGGTCGGCATGTTGAACCCCAAACGCTCTTGAATCAACGGCCCCCAACCATCATCCGGTTTTTTCGAGTTGTCGATGATGGCATCTCCGGTGATCGGGAGCCCGGTGAGGATGGCAACATCTTTGAGGGTGATCGTCATTTCACCCTCGGGAAAGTGGAAGGTATGCAGCTCGGGGCGCCATTGCTCTGCCATTGCCGTCAGCAGATCGTTGTCAATATCAAGCCTCGTAAAGTGCCTCAGCATGTGCAATCCCGTCCTCTCTATATAGGGCTGCAGTCGATCATGCCAACGGGGCAATCGACATGTCCCTCGATGACTGATGGGAATAAGTGATTCCTACAAAACAAAAAACACAATATTGTCAGTCAATAGAAAGAAAAATAAAAACTTTAAAACTATTGAAATAATTTTAGTGTGTCTACCGGATTATTGTTCCAAATTGAACGGGAACGATGTTGATCTTGCTCGGTTAAATACCTTCGATCCCTTGGGCCAGGATCGATATACAATCGAGGGTCGTATATCTCAGCACCCATCTATAAAAAAATATAAAATCAATTTAAATTTTAGCACCCCTGTAAAAAAATCACAAAAGAATAAAATTAATTTACGTACTCTCAAAGCCTCTTCGTCCATTTTTTGCCGAAAAGCTAGCGAGAGTATCGACAAAACAAAAACTCTAGTAATTCTTTCTCATGCGGAAGATCGGACTTAGCCGCAACCACAGAGCATACTTAGAACGAAACTAGAGTAAAGTAAAGGAGGGAGAAAGAAGTATAAAATTTTTGTGTGGTTTGGAATGGGGGGGGGGGGGGGGGAGTGGTATTTATAGGGGAAAGGGGCGCTGGAAATGGATACAGGAACCAATCACTGCGTTGAATGAAGGCAGTGAAGTCACCGCGTTGAATGAAGGCGGTGAAGGCTCGGATCGCTGACGTGGCACAGCGTGAGGCGTCGGATCGTGGAGAAAAACCACAATCCGCGCCTCACTGCATCGAACGGCAGCGGTGAAGGCGCTGGTGGGGCGGATCGCTGACGTGGAAAGCGGGGCTATCACCGCTTTAGTCATTAGCGGTGAATTGCCCGCGCGCGTCCACGTCAGCGATCCGCGCCTATTCACCGCTTTTTATCCAACGGTGAAGATCTATTCACCGCGTCCCTTATCAACGGTCGTGCAATCCCCGCGTTCAACCAAAACGGTGATAGCATCACTATCTTGGTCTACAACAGTGATGTTGAAACTGCTGTATTTTGGGAATTTTTTTTAATAATTAGAGTATTTTGGGATTTTTTCCATAAAATCATACGTTGTCAATAGATAATTTTCAGATGTCAAGAACAAACTGAAAAAGTAGCAGGAGTAAGAGAACGACTTTTATGCGCTAAATAATCCGCTAAAAATTATGCGCCTTCGTAAATGTCAGTTTCATAAGGTTCTCAATTTTTACTTTGAATCTCATGGAAATGTGTTGAACTTTTGAAACACCCTAACCCGGCCGGGTACTACTTTTATCAAAATACCCTTGTTAAATTGAAAATACTCAATAATCATAAACGCTGAAAGTAGCGGGAAAATTTTCAAAAAAATAAAATACTGAAAACACACTCTTGTAGTTCAAGGCAACGCCCTAACACATGGGCAATCTCAATACTTAAAATCTCAAAATGATCTCCAGTCTGTACTCATAATCATAAATGTAAATAACTAATAATCTCTAATGTTGGTGGCTTGGTGCTACTGAAAACCTTGACTAAGCATCCTCCGTGATGCTTATACTGCCCTCCTCTAGCTGGCTGCCCTCGAACTCGCTGCTCACTAACTGCTCATCTAGCTCCTCCTCTAGCTCTTCAAACTGGTGACTGAGATGGGGTCAGTCTACGCCCTTACGTTTAACATCTTATTAATACTTGGTCACTTTACTTAATTGAGTGGAAGTTGTTTTGTACTTTCACTATTAAAAAGCTTAACCCTTAAAACTGTATGGGAGTTACTATTACTCTCCATTCTTAAAACTCAAATCTTGACTTAAATACTTGAATGACACGAGGATCCCTCACTAGCTAGTCCGGTTTCCAACTCATACGTATGAGAGCCCATCCAGGCTTTCCTTAAACTTAAACTTATCGTGGAAGGCTCTTCTTCCACGATTCTCAAGAGCATAACTGTTGCTCATCTTAAAATATCTCAAGAGCATAACTGCTGTTCATCTTAAAAGTCTCAAGAGCATAATTGTTGCTCTATCTCAAAATCTCAAATGGCAACGGACTGGCGCTAGTGACTAAAAACTCTTAAAATGATTTCACCTTCTTGAAGGTGAGGTACTTCTTAAAAAGAACTTGTTTCTTAAACATTAACAATCACTCATAACGTAAAGCTTTAAGGTAATTAAATAACACACATTCACTTCAAATCATAGCTCAAACAAAGAACATATAATCAACCACAAACATACTCAAGCAACGGTAACCACTTTGCTAAAATACTTAAAATCGTAATACTGAAAAGAATACGTAAGACGTAGAATTTATCCCCTTTACACTCACCTTATGTTAAGTCGATTCGGTTGGAACTAACCATCTACCCGCAAGCCTTCTCGATAACTTGTGTTCAACTTCTTTCCCCGTCTGTGCAACCAAAGCATTGTGGTATTTTAACTATTTCCTAAGCGGTGACTAAGCTACTAGCGACTAGAAATTCCCATGTCCAGATTGTTCATTCCAATTAATTCATCCTTTCAATATAAAGCATCACCACGTCATTGTCCACTGATCTTGCCTTACTTGTGCTTAATCTATGACCCATCAGGTTATTAGTTATTCATTTGACATCATGCACCCCTTCTATTTCCATTATATAAATGGGTTCACCCATCACTTGACTCCTCTTTCTTTCGGGTACGACACCCACCCTTAAACCTCCTTGCTAATTACACATTAGCATATCATGCTCTCCCATGCATCAAAATAAACGCCAACAACCAGAGCCTCCCCTCAATTCCATCGACAAAAGCCAAACCCCTCCTTTAATTTCGTAGCTCACATAAAAAAACACCATCATCAACGAGTTTTATTGAAGAGGTCCTTACCTCAATTCCGGTTGCTTTCTGTAATTGTGTTAAACAATCATGTCGTTGCTTCCCTTTCTCCTCGACTGAACCGCGTTGCGGCTACCACTCCTTTTCGCTTCCGTTGCTGGGGACACGAGAGGGACGTCGAGCGGCCTGGATTTGGGTCGGGGACAAAGCATATATATATTTACTAGCTTTGTCCCCGGTCCTTGGCCGGGAGTTTTTATTTGATTAATTAGTTAGTTTTATTAAAGACACATATTTTTTTGTGCATATATTATATATGATAATACAAATTATTATGTTTGGACTAATGTTTACTTCAAACACAACATTACTACAAATTTTTAAAATATATGAAACTTTGTGGCAAGTTAAGTCGTGATCAATAAATTTGCAAGTCATAGATCTAAACTGGAAAAACAAAAACCTTATAAACTTTTGGAGAAG